CTGGGGAGTCCACAGAAGGAAACAGACGTGAGAGTCACCCCAGGCTCTTCTAGTTCTGATAGTTTTCATTTAAAGAAGATGCTGGCCATGACCCATAAATTAATTTCATGGCCCACTAATTGGTTACAACCCACAAGATGCTACAACATGAGCACGAAGATGAAGACTGGGGCCTGGGCGAGTATCTGTCTTCATCCAAAATGACTTAATTTTATCTGTTTTAAGTAAAACCTGCATTTACCAGAACGTTGACAAAAAATTTATGGTGTAAAATGAATGAATTAATTTATTACATGATTGATTAGTTCAAGAGTCATCTGTTAAGCATCTACACTGGATTAAGCCCTGGGATACAGCAATGAATAAAAGCCTAATACCTCTCTTGAGGCACATATAATCTAAGGTGGAAAGAAACCCATAAAGAATAATTTTTAATACAATACTGGAAGTGCTAAGTAAGGGAATGTGTGTGTGATGAGAACTGGGGCAGGGGCAGCTTTCAAGAGACTTCCCCGAAGACGGTGATGTCTCGGTAGAATTGTCACAGAGGAGTGTGTGTTAGGCGGGAGGAGCCAGGATGGGACATGAAAACATGCAAAGGAGGACGAGGCAGACAGTACGATGTGACATGCCACTCCGAGCTCAGGAAACCACAGCTACAAGTGTAAGGTGGGGGGAGAGTGGGGCGATGAGGTGGGTGGAAGGTGGGCTGGGCTCTGGGCTTTTCCTCTAAGTAGTGGGGAGTTCTCCCCATGCCCCTCTGTTTTGGTTTTCTTTTTAATTTTATAGTAGTTTTTTTTTTTTTTTTTACATATTTTTGTACATTTTTCCATCTCAGTTGCAATCCCCTTGGGCTTCCCATCACCAAATGACCCATGTGCCATCACCATAGTCCAGTGCATTTCCCTCCCCCCATTGTTTTTGATCCCATTCCCCACTCCAGCCCCTCTGTTTTAATTGACACGTGCCACATGTACAACATATTAATTCGCACTAATAAATTGCAAACCAATCACCATCATTGCATTAGCTGCCAACTTCATCCCATCTCAGTTACTGTTTCTTTTTTTGTGATGAGAACATTTAGGATAAGACTTCCTCTCTCAGTAACATTCAGCTCAATGATATATTAATAGCTACAATCACAATGTTAGGCATTAAATCTTCAAACTTGTTAATTTTTTTTTAAGATTTATTTATTTGTGCATACAGAACTGGGGTACAGGCCAGAGGTGCAGGGGGGTGAGAGGATTCACCAGAGACAGTGGGGAGCAGAACAGGCAGATCAAGGAAACACACTGCTGAGGGGAACAGTAGGCGGGCCAGGAGAGGTCTGCTGCGCCACGTGGGTCACCTTGGGGTGGGGATCAAACTCATGCTGAAGTGGCTTTAGCTTCTTAGTGCTGCGCTTTAACCCGCTGCACCACCAGGGAGGGCCCCAAAATTGTTAATCTTTTAACTGAAGGCCTAGATCCTCTGATTAATATTGTCCCATCCCTACCTCCCCCAGGCACTCCCATTTTCTCTGAGTTTGTCTTTTTTTAGATTCTGCATATACGTGATATTCAGTATATATCTTTCTCTGTCTGACTTGCTTCACTTAGCACAATGCCCTCAAGGTCCATCTCAGTTGTCACAAATGGCAGGATTTCCTTCCCTCTTATGGCTGAATAATATTTGTGTGTGTATGGGGGAGGGGGGAGGGAGCATTTTCTTTATCTGCTCATCCATTGGCAGGCATTTAATTTGTTTTCATATCTTGGCTACTGTGAATAATGCTGCAGGGATCGTAGGAAGGCAGCTGT